TCTATCTACCTATCTATCTATCTATCTATTTATCTATCTATCTATCTATCTCCTTCTGCTTCAATCTATCTATCTATCTATCTATCTATCTATCTATCTCATCTAATATTTCATTCTATCTATCTATCTATCTATCTATCTATCTATCTATCTATCTATCTATCTATCTATCTGTTTCTTTCAGTCTCTTCGCTTCTTTTTAATCTATCTATCTATCTATCTATCTATCTATCTATCTATCTATCTATCTATCTCCTTCTGCTTCTATCTATCTATCTATCTATCTATCTATCTATCTATCTATCTATCTATCTATCTAATATTTCATTCTGATGCTATCTATCTATCTATCTATCTATCTATCTATCTATCTATCTATCTATCTATCTATCTATCTCATTCCGATTCTATCTATCTATCTATCTATCTGACACAATATCAAAATAAGGTGGTTCATCTATTACGATAGGTACTCTCCACACCCGTCCGCGAGCATATCACATGCCGTGCCGTCTTGGAAATTATTTGACCTCGTATTCTGGCCTTTATCAAAACCACTTAAAATGCTCTTTCTTGTAGCTTTGACATTTAGCACTTCACGGAACCGGATCACCGGCTTTTATACCTCTGACACAGACATGCGGATTTGTTACGAGACAGTAGATGGCATTCTTGCCACATTTTATCTCAACGTTTTATAGTATATAATATATAAATTGGAAAGATGATACTAACCAACGTTTGGGGAAAATGTCAATTTTGAAGTAGATAAAAGGATTCGTTCTCACCTGGGGTAAATTGTGAGATGATGTCATCTTTGGTTGTTTTTCTTGTCATATGTTTTGGGGTACGTGTTAAATCCGGTTAGATTTGTTTTATAGGATAGGGAACGTTGAAGAACGTGACCAATTGTATTTATTTAGTGGTCAAAGAGTTTCTTCGGCGTTTCCTGGCAGAAGAATACCGTTATTGCAAGATTTACTCTGGAGTTTTGCGGAAGGGAAAAATAAAGCAGATACGATGATGCTTCTTCGCTTGTCAAACTCTCGCGTGAGCTGGTTTTATGCCGTTATCGGGATTTCTTCTTCTTCTTCTTCTTCTTTTTCTTCTTCTTCTTCCAATTCTTCTTCTTCCAATTCTTCTTCTTCATCTTCTTCCAATTCTTCTTCTTCTTCTTCTTCTTCTTCTTCTATCTTTTCGTTCTTCTTCTTCTTCCATTCTTCTTCTTCTTCTTCTTCTTCTTTTTCTTCCTTCTTCTTCTATCTTCTTCTTCCATTTCTATCTTCTTCTATCTTCTTCGTTTTTCGTTCTTCTTTTCTTCTATTCTTCTTCTATCTTCTTCTTCTTCTATCTATCTATTCTTCTTCTCATTTTCGATTTCTTCTTCCAATTCTTCTTCTTCTTCTCTTCACAATATCTTCTTAAGGTTCGTTTTCATTCTTCTTCTTCTTCTTCCAATTCTTCTTCTTCTTCTTCTTCTTCTTCTTCCATTTCGTCTTCTTCTTCTTCTTCGTTTTCGTTCTTCTTCTCTTCCATTTCTTCTTTGACCTCTTATTCTTCCTTTTCAAAACTTCTTCTTCTTCTTCCAATTCTTCTTCTTCTTCTTCTTCTTCATTTCGTCTTCTTCTTCTTCTTTTTTTCGAACCGGATCTTCGGCTTCTTCAATTCTTCTTCTTCTTCTTCACATCTTCTTCTTCCATTTGTTTCTTCTTCTTCTTCGTTTTCGTTCTTCTTTTTTCCATTTCTTCAACTTTTCTTCTTCGTTTTCGTTCTTCTTCTTCTTCCAATTCTTCTTCTTCGTTTTCCAACTTCTTCTTCCGATTCTTCTTCTTCTTCTTCTTCCAAGGATTTCGTTTTCTTCTTCTTCTTCTTCGTTTTCGTTCTTCTTCTCATCTTCCAATTCTTCTTCTTTTCTTCTTCATTTGTCTTCTTCTTCTTCGTTTTCGTTAAATCTTCTTCTTCTTTTCTTTTCTTCTTCTTCTTCTTCGTTTCCATTTCGTCTTCAATTGTCGTTTTCGTTTTCTTCTTCTTCCATTTCAAAGAGTTTCTTCTTCGTTTTTTCGTTCTTCTTCTTCTTCTTCAATTCTTCTTCTTCTTCTTCTTCTTCTTCTTCCATTTCGTCTTCTTCTTTTTTCGTTTTCGTTCTTCTTCTTCTTCCAATTCTTCTTCTTCTTCTTCATCTTCTTCTTCTTCCATTTCGTCTTCTTCTTCTTCTTCGTTTTCGTTCTTCTTCTTCTTCCATTTCTTCTTCTTCTTCTTCTTCTTTCGTTCTTCTTCTTCTTCCAATTCTTCTTCTTCGTTTTCGTTCTTCTTCTTCTTCCGATTCTTCTTCTTCTTCTTCTTCCATTTCGTTTTCTTCTTCTTCTTCGTTTTTCGTTCTTCTTCTTCTTCCAATTCTTCTTCTTCTTCTTCTTCTTCTTCTTCTTCTTCTTCTTCGTTTTCGTCTTCTTCTTCTTCTTCAATTTTTCTTTTCTTCTTCTTCTTCTTCTTCCAATTCTTCTTCTTCTTCTTCTTCTTCGTTCTTCTTCTTCTTCCATTTCGTCTTCTTCTTCTTCGTTTTTCGTTCTTCTTCTTCTTCTTCCAATTCTTCTTCTTCTTCTTCTTCTTCTTCTTCCATTTCGTCTTCTTCTTCTTCTTCGTTTTTCGTTCTTCTTCTTCTTCCATTTCTTCTTCTTCTTCTTCTTCTTCGTTTTCGTTCTTCTTCTTCTTCTTCAAATTCTTCTTCTTCTTCTTCTTCTTCTTTCTTCTTCTTCTTCTTCGTTTTTCGTTCTTCTTCTTCTTCCAATTCTTCTTCTTCTTCATCTTCTTCTTCTTTTCTTCTTCTTCTTCTTCTTCGTTTTTCGTTCTTCTTCTTCTTCCAATTCTTCTTCTTCGTTTTTCGTTCTTCTTCTTCTTCCGATTCTTCTTCTTCTTCTTCTTCCATTTCGTTTTCTTCTTCTTCTTCTTCGTTTTTCGTTCTTCTTCTTCTTCCAATTCTTCTTCTTCTTCTTCTTCCATTTCGTCTTCTTCTTCTTCTTCGTTTTTCGTTCTTCTTCTTCTTCCAATTCTTCTTCTTCTTTTTCTTCCAATTCTTCTTCTTCTTTTTCTTCCATTTCTTCTTCTTCTTCTTCTTCTTCTTCTTCCAATTCTTCTTCTTCTTCTTCTTCCATTTCGTTTTTCTTCTTCTTCTTCTTCTTCTTCTTCAATTCTTCTTCTTCTTTTCTTCTTCTTCTTCTTCCATTTCTTCTTCTTCTTCTTCGTTTTTCGTTCTTCTTCTTCTTCTTCTTCTTCTTCTTCTTCCATTTCTTCTTCTTCTTCTTCTTCTTCTTCTTCGTTTTTCGTTCTTCTTCTTCTTCCAATTCTTCTTCTTCTTCTTCTTCTTCCAATTCTTTTTCTTCTTCTTCTTCTTCTTCTTCTTGTTCTTCTTCTTCGTCTTCTTCTTCTTCTTCTTCTTCCAATTCTTCTTCTTCTTCTTCTTCCATTTCTTCTTCTTTTCTTCTTCTTTTCTTCTTCTTCTTTTCTTCTTCTTTCTTCTTCTTCTTCTTCTTCTTCAAACGCCCCTCCTCCTCCTCTTCCTACTCCTTTATCTTCTTCTTCCGTTTATTATTATTATTCATCTTCATTGTTTCTTTCTTTTGGTTTCTTTTTTTTTCTTATATCCTTTGTTATTTTTAATTCTAAAAAATATGAAGCAAAGCGAAATAAATAAGAATTATTAAAAAGGGCATAAAACCAAAGATAAAGACAAAGAAAGAAAGAAAGAAAGAAAGAAAGAAAGAAAGAAAGAAAGAAGAAAGAAAAAAAAGGAGGATGGAAATAAAGAAAGAAAGAAAGAAAGAAAGAAAGAAGGAAAGAAAGAAGAAAAGAAAGAAAGAAGGAAAGAAAGAAAGAAAGAAAGATAGAAGGAAAAAAGAAGAAAAGAAAGAAAGAAGGAAAGAAAGAAAGAAAGAAAGAAGAAAAGAAAGAAAGAAAGAATCAAACAAAGTAATAAAGAATGGAATCATGGTAAGAAAAGAGAGGATCAGTGACAGACAGACATTCATACAGAAAGAAAGAAAGAAAGAAAGAAAGAAAGAAAGAATTCATAGCAAGAAGAAAGAGTATCAGTGACAGAAAGAAAGAAATATCTTTTTTGATTCACTGATTTTAAGCTTATTTAAAGGCGAAACAAATTTCTGGATTCTAACAATTTTTTTAGAGAATATAATGATTTTACGATAAAATCTTACTATTTAATCCATAGCTGGGAGGAGAAGAGGTGGATTCATACCTTTTCCCAAGCGTATTTGCATAGAAGTGAATACAACTAACCCGACTGGAGATCAAACTCGGCTCCCCGATTTACAATTGCTAGCTTTTATCTATAACACCACAAATCCAAGCTTACTGCACCTGATATTCTCGAGCGGTCACCCATCTCAGGATTAACCAAGTCCAACGTTGCTTAACCTTGTTGATTGGACGAGTATCGGTGTTTCTGCGTGATATGGAGGTAAGCCATAAAGAAATGAGTAGTGGAGTCTGTCCCCGCAATTAGGCTAATGAAAGAAGGAAGGAAGGAAAGAAAGAAAGAAAGAAAGAAAGAATGGAAATGCTTAGATCACTATGAAAGAACCTGTTTGGAGGTGTTTCATTACGCCTAAGAATGGGTGGCAATATTTTCCAGAGCAGACCAAGAAGTCATTCCTCACAAAGCATTTTTTTTGGGGGGGGTTCTTTTGTTCAGATTCTGGAAAGTGAATCAGGTCGGGAAGTTTTCAGCACCCGCTCTTATGCGCTGACCCTTCTCATAATTAAACACCTCCAAAGAATACCAATTTGGTCCACCCAAGCCGAACCGAAGTTACGCCATGGAAACAATAATTACGAAAATCACGTGACATGTTGCCCCTTCACGGACTAACGTTTTCCCCATTAGCATGAAGTCGAAAGATTATAATCGGCACGGCATGTGATATGCTCGCGGACGGGTGTGGAGAGTACCTATCGTAATAGATGAACCACCTTATTTTGATATTGTGTCAGATAGATAGATAGATAGATAGAATCGGAATGAGATACATAGATAGATAGATAGATAGATAGATAGCATCAGAATGAAATATTAGATAGATAGATAGATAGATAGATTGAAGCAGAAGGAGATAGATAGATAGATAGGTTGAAGCAGAATCTGATAGATAGATAGATAGATAGATAGATAGATTAAAAAGAAGCGAAGAGACTGAAAGAAACAGATAGATAGATAGATAGATAGATAGATAGATAGATAGATAGAATGAGAATAGATAGATAGATAGATAGATAGATAGATAGATAGATAGATAGATGAATTGAAGCAGAAGGAGATAGATAGATAGATAGATAGATAATAGATAGATAGATGAATAGATAGATTAAAAAGAAGCGAAGAGACTGAAAGAAACAGATAGATAGATAGATAGATAGATAGATAGATAGATAGATAGATAGAATCGGAATGAGATAGATAGATAGATAGATAGATAGATAGATAGATAGATAGATAGATAGATAGAAGCTGAATAAGATAGAGGAAATAATTATAGCATTGGCAGCATCATCTGTCCATTCACAAATGACGGTCGCCCACTTTCGCCTCGGTATGTCACGGTCAGAAGTCTATTAAGTAGGTAATCTGGCTTCGGGTACTGCACGACGAATTTGTGAGCTTTTATGGGCAAGAAGAAAGATTTGAGTGGCTTTGTTAAAAGCCAGAAGACTAAGTCAGTGTATTTCAGAAACGGTACGGTTTGTGACATTGTCTAGTTCACGATCTTAGAGTACATATCCTGGGTAAGACGATAAACTATAAGAGGTCTGCTAGTGAGGAAGTTGGTCCACTGTACAGTCTTCGACAATAGTTCGCGCCAGAATCTATCTTACCTAATGTCTATAATGGCGTATCATACGACCTGGGAAGATCTAGATACGCAAAATTTATCTCTCGTGTATGATGTGACCCTCTTTGACCCGCTTCAAAATCAGGACTTCAAATGTCTCATGGAGTATATACGGTAATTCAAATCTAGACATTTGCTTGTCACGGTATCTGATTAATGGTGATCTAAGCATTGATCTCTCCAGACACCAAACTGAGTAATGAACATCTAAGCATTGAGCTCACAAGACATCGTACTATCTAATCCATGGTAATTAAAGCATTGATCTCTCCAGATCATACTATTTAATTCATGGTGATCTAAACATTGATCTCTCCAGACATCATACTATCTAATTCATGGTGATCTAAACATTGATCTCTCCAGACATCGTATTATCTAATTCATGATGATCTGAGCATTGATCTCTCCAGACATCATACTATTTAATTCATGGTGATCTAAACATTGATCTCTCCAGACATCATACTATCTAATTCATGGTGATGTCACCATTAATGTCTCCAGACGTTGTACTCTAATCCATAGTGATCTAAGCATTACTCTCTACAAATATCGTACCATCTAATCCATAGTGATCCAATCATTGATCTTTCCAGACATTCTACTATCTAATTCATGGTGATCAAAGCATTAATCTCTCCAGACATCCTTATATAATTTATCGTGATCTAAAATTTGATCTCTCTAGACATCATACTATCCAATTCTTGGTGATCAAAGCATTAATCTCTCCAGGCAGCCTTATATAATTCATGTTGATCTAAACATTGATCTCTCCAGACATCGTATTATCTAATTCATGGTGATCTAAGCATTGATCTCTCCAGACATCGTATTATCTAATTCATGGTGATCTAAGCATTGATCTCTCCAGACATCGTATTATCTAATTCATGGTGATCTAAGCATTGATCTCTTCAGACATCGTATTATCTAATTCATGGTGATCTAAACATTGATCTCTCCAGACATCATACTATATAATTCATGGTGATCTAAGCATTGATCTCTTCAGACATCGTATTATCTAATTCATGGTGATCTAAACATTGATCTCTCCAGACATCATACTATATAATTCATGGTGATCTAAGCATTGATCTAATTTAGATTAAATTTAGACCTGTAACCGTAAGTTCTATGCTAAAGTTTTCTTCTATCGCACTTCCAGCCTGTGGAACACTCTTCCAACTTCTTTCTTCCCAGTCAACATTGGATCTTCAAAAATTTAATCGCAATCCTGATCAATTTTCTCCTTAGTTCTTGTTCTTTTATAGTTCCTTCTCCTTAATAGTGTTTCACACCACTTATATCTTAGTGGCTTTATTTCCTTGCTTGGGGTGAAACGATTAAAAATGAAAATGGAATCCTATTAAAATCGGTAATTCTGATTTTGAAAATAATTTCTTTGTATCTCAGAAGTTTACTTCCGAGAAATTCACAGAAAATCACGTCTTCACTTTATTTCCATGGAAATCAAAACAGCTACATGCCACTGTAAGAAAATAAGTTCATAGTAATATATATATATATATATATATATATATATATATATGTGTGTGTGTGTGTGTGTGTGTGTGTGTGTATGTGCAGATATGTAGGAAAATAATCCGGAATTCTTTAGTATTTTTGTTTTTATTTTTATTTAAAAAAAAAAAAAACATGGCTCCATACAGAAGTAGAACGTAAATTTTAATTATTTAAAAAAAGATGATTCCGTCGCTACATAAGATTTTTCATGTTTCAAAAACAAGAGCCAAAATCCTCAATAATTACTAAAATTAAATTGAATTAAAGTATCAAGCCCTGTTTCATCCTCAAGAGAAAATTTAGGAATAACCAATCTTGAAATTTACGCATCTTTATAAGCATGTTCATTCGCGAAATTAATTACTATGGAAACGGCTGATGTGACCATTTTGATAAGGAGCGAACAATTTGTATCCACATATCAGTCACCTTCGGAAAGAGATCAAGCCGAAGCAAGGCCGGGGTGTCCATTTCAAAGCGAATGATGGCATTCATATGCGCACATCATATGGTCAGTCACAGCGACAGATAGCTGTTGGCACCATCGTACGTCGCTAAGTGTCTAAAGAATTTAAAAAAAAATTTTCATACATAAACGCGTCGCACTGAACTACAATTTGTTTTTTGACGACTTCATAAAGGGTTTTTCTCTCTTATAATTTGGTTAAGCTTTTAAGCCTTTTATTAGACTATGAAATTTCAATTTTAATGCGAAAATTTGTTGATATCGGCAAAAAGCCGTTAACTCATGTCCATGGTTCAATAAATTTCCATTATTTAGAAACTTAATAATGTGTATTTTTTCATGTAGGCATAAAGGGCATGGGTCATCGCAGGTTTTATAAGTTTTTGTTTTATTTATTATTTTCCATTTTACTTTTGGTGTTTTATTCATTTCTTTTAAATGCCAAAAATATTTGGATAGATATTTCTGATTTCTATTTCTAATATTATTGAAGGAGCTTTTGTGTTGTCTCCATCTAATTTTAAATCCATTCTTCGTTGAACCAATGTATTTCAGTATTAGGATTCTCAATGGATGAGATTGTGCATTGGTATACCACGGATTTTATGAGGCATTTATTTTCCAACGGGCAGTCTTCAGGGTTTCAACAATTACATAATTTTTTCATTATTTTTGTCTGATTTTAGTTTAGGATTTTTATTAATACTGTTTTGGCACACGTGTTTTTCCAGGATTTTATTATTGTGTTTTTTATGATTCTTTCTGGATTTTCAGTGCAACTGTAGCTTAATTTTAAGGTGTTTTTATTAAAGATCTCGCTAAGTCTGCTATTAGTAGGGAAGTGTTTTTCAATTAAAGCTAGGAACTTATGTCCTAGCTTAATACTAACAATTTGGTTGAACGGATAGGTATACCAAATGATTTTTCTTTTCCTCTTTTTCTTCTGGTTAGGAATATTTTTTAAAAATCATTTAGAAATGATGTAGCGAAGGAATCATATTTTTTGAAAAATAATTATATATATATATATATATATATATATACATATATATATATATATATGTGTGTGTGTGTGTGTGTGTATGTGTGTGTGTGTGTGTTTGTGTTTGTTACGGTGGCTTAATGGATATTGGATTGAGGATTCGGAGAGCCGAGTTCGAATTACATTCACTTACCGTGGGACTCTTCATCTACCTCCAGCTCTGGGTAAATAGCAAGACAGAGTGGGTTCTGTAGCCTTAGATGGCAACTGGTCTAGGAGAAGGCCAACTTTGAATTCAAAACCCGCGGAGTGTCGTTTGGGGACCAGGTCTCTGTGTTCGGCCCTTCAAAAAATGTGGATGGCCCTGCGCGAAACCTTCACCACTATAATCAAATCTCATGTGCTGTTGTCGGGCTGTCGGTTTTCTAGGAACTGATCTGCTTGACGAGAGAATCAGTATATATATATATATATATATATATATATATATATATATATATATATATATATATATTTTTAAATTGTAATTAAAATTGTAGTTAAATAAATGAATTCTAACCTAAACTTCTTTTTTAATTAGTACTACACGCACTTAAAAGAATCCAATAAAAACACCTATAGTAAAATAAAATTAATATGAAATGCCATAAGATGTAAGCTTTTGAATGACCCATGTCCTTTGTACTTACATGAGAAACAATATATTACTAGGTTTATATATAAAATAAAAGTTTACTAAATCAGTGAAATTAAGTAACCATTTTTGCCGTCATAGTCATAAATTTTTATAAAAAAAAAAATGTAACCTCATATACATACTTAAACTTGATGTTAAAATAATCCTACATAATATAATGGAATCTAATACATTTAACTGTTCTTAAAAAGAATATAGTAAAATAAAAATTAAAAAGGAGAATATTTCAAATCGTAGTTAAATAAAAAGTATTATGATCTGAACACCCCCGAAAATCTTTACATTTAAAAATGGAAAAAAAATGCCGTAAAAAAAAAAAATCCAGACGACATGCATTCAACGGATGTCAGTTTTCATTGAAAAATACATCCCTACCCCTTACCAAATTGTAGCTAATAACTGATACAATGATACTGACATAAGGAAAACCTAGATATCCCTTGTCCAATTGAAGTAGAATATTCTGTAAACGTGATTTTAGCCGTGTCTTTAAAACCCAGTAATTTTTTAAAAGTTACTCCAAAATTCGCTTGAAGATGAAATGGAACTAATGCTTTTAATTTAATTGCAAAATTAAATCCGGGGCTTTTAACTTCTATTTTTGAAACCTGGTTAGAACTGTGTAGCGGAAAAACATATTTTAAATCAATTAATTTATTATATATATATATATATATATATGTTTATATATATACACATTAGTGAATAAATATATATGTATATGCAAGTATAAGTGTTTTTTATCACACTCATCAATCTATTTATGTATCTTATTCTGCTTCTATCAATCTATCTATCTATCTTTTTTTCTTTCTAAATGTTTACCTGTTGGTTTTCAGTCTATTCAATTCTTTCATTCATTCTTTCTTTCTTTCTTTCTATTCTTTCTTTATTTATTTCTTTCGAACTTTTTAAGTGTGTTTGCTCATGTGTTCTTGCGACGACCTGTCTCGGTACCTTGTGCGCACGCGCGTCTCTGTCCCGGAAGCTGTGCGCCCATATTCATAAGTCGTTCAGCCCAAGACACTTAACACTGCATGCATTTAACCGAGCACAGTTGAATAGTTGCGATGATGAGGTGCGTGCAGTGTTTGTGAATATAACCTGATTGAGGAAGACTTATTGGGGCATTCTCTACAGCAAAACGAAATATGTTGATCATCCAACGGCCGACCACTTTACATTCAGACTGAAACTCAACGCCAATGACGTTATGAGGTCCATCACTGCAGACCTAAAATTTGGAAAATAAAATATCCTATAATACCGCAATTATTACTACTGCTTCGGGCAGTGTATTGCGAATAAACGGAAACAAATCGTGTAAAAGTCGATTTTTTAAAAATAATATTTTATAAGATAACGGTTGATCCTAGACTTGACCGTCCTGGAAAAGACGTTAAAATACATTCGCTTCCTGGGTAAGACGATAAACTACGTCCAGCAGCAAGGCCTCTGATCAGGAGGTTTTGAGGAGCGTGGAACCACCTCTTAATTGCTGGTGTTCCCAGGTCCATCCTGACCGGTGTGGTAGCACTTGTTAGGGTCCCAGCTATAGGCAAATAGTTAACTATTACCAGGAATACTTTTTTGAAAAAAACTATTACCTGCAATACAATTTTGAAGGAAATATATTAACAGAAACAAATTTTTGACAAAACAAAATATTACCAGTAATAAAAAATGCTGTCAGCATTAAATAACTCATTGAGGTCGATATGCCGAAAAAAAAAATAAACCAAACCAATCTAAACCAAAGAAGAAATATTGTATTTATACGAATCTATCCTAAAATGTTGTCGGCATTAAATAACCCATTGCTGTTGATATGTTGTAAAACAAAATAAACCAAACCAATCTAAAGCGAAGAATACATATTCTATTCATACGAATCTATCCTAAAAATGTTGTCGGCATTAAATAACCCATTGAGGTTGATATGCCGTAAAACAAAATAAACCAAACCAATCTAAACCAAAGAATACATATTCTATTCATACGAATCTATCCTAAAAATGTTATCGGCATTAAATAACCCATTGAGGTTGATATGCCGTAAAACAAAATAAACCAAACCAATCTAAACCAAAGAATACATATTCTATTCATACGAATCTATCCTAAAAATGTTGTCGGCATTAAATAACCCATTGAGGTTGATATGCCGTAAAACAAAATAAACCAAACCAATCTAAACCAAAGAATACATATTCTATTCATACGAATCTATCCTAAAAAATGTTGTCGGCATTAAATAACCCATTGAGGTTGATATGCCGTAAAACAAAATAAACCAAACCAATCTAAACCAAAGAATACATATTCTATTCATACGAATCTATCCTAAAAAATGTTGTCGGCATTAAATAACCCATTGAGGTTGATATGCCGTAAAACAAAAAATAAACCAAACCAATCTAAACCAAAGAATACATATTCTATTCATACGAATCTATCCTAAAAATGTTGTCGGCATTAAATAACCCATTGAGGTTGATATGCCGTAAAACAAAATAAACCAAACCAATCTAAACCAAAGAATACATATTCTATTCATACGAATCTATCCTAAAAATGTTGTCGGCATTAAATAACCCATTGAGGTTGATATGCCGTAAAACAAAAATAAACCAAACCAATCTAAACCAAAGAATACATATTCTATTCATACGAATCTATCCTAAAAATGTTGTCGACATTAAATAACCCATTGAGGTTGATATGCCGTAAAACAAAATAAACCAAACCAATCTAAACCAAAGAATACATATTCTATTCATACGAATCTATCCTAAAAAATGTTGTCGGCATTAAATAACCCTTTGAGTTTGATATGCCGTAAAACAAAATAAACCAAACCAATCTAAACCAAAGAATACATATTCTATTCATACGAATCTATCCTAAAATGTTGTCGACATTAAATGACTCATTGAGGTTGATATGCCGTAAAACAAAATAAACCAAACCAATCTAAACCAAAGAATACATATTCTATTCATACGAATCTATCCTAAAAAATGTTGTCGGCATTAAATAACCCATTGAGGTTGATATGCCGTAAAACAAAATAAACCAAACCAATCTAAAGCGAAGAATACATATTCTATTCATACGAATCTATCCTAAAATGTTGTCGGCATTAAATAACCCATTGAGGTTGATATGCCGTAAAACAAAAATAAACCAAACCAATCTAAACCAAAGAATACATATTCTATTCATACGAATCTATCTCAAAAATGTTGTCGGCATTAAATAACCCATTGAGGTTGATATGCCGTAAAACAAAATAAACCAAACCAATCTAAACCAAAGAATACATATTCTATTCATACGAATCTATCCTAAAAATGTTGTCGGCATTAAATAACCCATTGAGGTTGATATGCCGTAAAACAAAATAAACCAAACCAATCTAAACCAAAGAATACATATTCTATTCATACGAATCTATCCTAAAAATGTTGTCGACATTAAATAACCCATTGAGGTTGATATGCCGTAAAACAAAATAAACCAAATCGTGTAAAAGTCGATTTTCTTAATAATATTTTTACCATTAGACTCAAAGATAATTTATTTATATACCGTGTCCCTTGAGAATATGCTTGATCATGGCCCTCCACAACTTCGTTTTTTTGACAGCGCGACACTGAAATCCTCAGAAAGCGCATTGGTATAGCGAAAGATGCCTTACGGATGCTAAGCAAGGTATTAAGAAGCAGAGCAAATCGATAGAAACAAAGAAAAGATTACGGAACAGTTATGTCGTATCAGTCCTTGTATACTTCAGCGAACAATCTCCCCACAGATGAAGAAGATATTTGAAGCAACAAAAATGGGGCTCTACAGAAGGATGCTGAGACTAAATTTAACCGAACACAGGAACGACGAAGATTTTAAAAAAATAATGGAAACAAAAAAAATATATTTGCATAACATCAGAAAGAGACAGTCGAAATTTAATGAGGTGAAAGGGCACCACGAGTTGGTGTAATGGTTAACAAGCTTGTCTCGGTAGATCAATTATGACTGAGTTCTCACTGGGTACCCCATACTTTCGGCCTTGTGGTAGATCTGAGATACGCTTGGAAAATCACGATAATGAGGAGAGAAGGTTCGGAAAATTTGATATTCACAACACAGTCTGAAAGTAAGTGGTTGGTTGGTTCTTTTTTTTTTTAAATGGTATCTGTTATGGTCCAGGTTAGGACCAAGGAAGAACAACACGAACACAAGAGTAGAAATAACGAAGGTATATTACACGAAATAATAATACAAGATGTGGAAGGTGTTAGTATGACTGTCAGTCTGGTTGGGAGTGAATTACTATCGGCTCGAATCGATTCGATCCTCTCTCTTGAGAGGCGTAATATACATAGTGTTAGGTAAAGTTCATTCTGTAGTTATAGGTAAGGACCCATGATAGATAGATAGATAGATAGATAGATAGATAGATAGATATTAAAGTGACTTAGTGTTATGATCCAGGTTAGGACCACGGAAGAACAACACGAACACAAGAGTAGAAATAACGAAGGTATATTACACGAAATAATCATACAAGATGTGGAAGGTGTTAGTATGACTGTCAGTCTGGTTTGGAGTGAATTACTATCGGCTTGACTCGATTCGACCCTCTCTCTTGAGAGGCGTAGTATACATAGTGTTAGGAAGAGTTCATTCTGTAGTTATAGGCAAGGACCTATGACAGATAGATAGATAGATAGATAGATAGATAGATAGATAGATAGATAGATATTAAAGTGACTTAGTGTTATGATCCAGGTTAGGACCACGGAAGAACAACACGAACACAAGAGTAGAAATAACGAAGGTATATTACACGAAATAATAATACAAGATGAGGAAGGTGTTAGTATGACTGTCAGTCTGGTTGGGAGTGAACTACTATCGGCTCGACTCGATTCGACCCTCTCTCTTGAGAGGCGTAGTATACATAGTGTTAGGAAGAGTTCATTCTGTAGTTATAGGCAAGGACCTATGACAGATAGATAGATAGATAGATAGATAGATAGATAGATAGATATTAAAGTGACTTAGTGTTATGCTCCAAGTTAGGACCAAGGAAGAACAACACGAAGACAAGAGTAGAAATAACGAAGGTATATTACACGAAATAATAATACAAGATGAGGAAGGTGTTAGTATGACTGTCAGTCTGGTTGGGAGTGAACTACTATCGGCTCGACTCGATTCAACCCTCTCTCTTGAGAGGCGTAGTATACATAGTGTTAGGAAGAGTTCATTCTGTAGTTATAGGTAAGCACCCATGACAGCTGCGTATATTATTTAATTTTCGATTTTTGATTTTCAAATGTACATTGGCTCGCTTCGCGTTAACCTTTAACGAAGCAAAATTTTTTATTCAGCTTCAATTGAATTCTCCCTCTACACGTCTATCTTCACAGGGTGGGGTGGTGGTCCGTGTCTATCCTTGTGCATGTGTGCTTGTGTCTGCATAGCCGGCTGCACTTCGATGCAATTGTCTTAGTATATTGCATTTTGACACTGCGCAGGTATTTCGACATATAATATAGATTTTTACGAAGCTTATGTTAATATCGGACAAGTAGACTAGTGTCGAATGACTGGCGATGATGGAATTTTCTATCTGACCAGAGTTCCTCCAGATGATGTTAATGACCGCTGCTGTAAGTCGAGGCGAAACATTGTTTATTTATCTAAACTGTTTCCTACTGAGTCGTGTCGTGGCTGCTGCCAGCAAGCGGAGCAGAATGGAAGAACCTAATTTGAATTCTGGTTGAGATTGCTTAAATCACTTTTGTTCTATTCCCGTTGGGAAAGACACAAATCATGTTCCAATTAACAATATCGCTATCCCAGTCTTGGTGTGTGTGTGTGTGTGTGTGTGTGTGTGTGTGTGTGTGAGAGAGAGAGAGAGAGAGAGAGAGAGAGAAGAGAGAGAGGAGAGGAAAAAAACGTTAAGTTGAACCGGTACAGAATATAGCGTGTCTCTTAAAACTGTTTCATATTATTTAACCAGGAAGAGCATATATATATATATATATATATATATATATATATATATATATATATATATATATATATATATATATATAGACACCCAGGTAAGTGCTCTCTGTGTCATTATTTCTGGCCCTATGTTAATAATGATGTTATTTAAGTCATTGGTATCGACAAGAGTGTAAGCAAGGTGACATTATGTAAAGTGGAAAGCTGTCTCTGCTTATAGTGATTTTCCAAGCGTAGCTTAGATGTGGCACAAGGCCGAAAGTAGGGGGCACTATCTATCTATCTATCTAATCATTTTTGTTCCTTTTTCTTTTGTTTGTTTCTTTCTTTATCTATCTATCTATCTATCTATGTAATCCTTTTCTTTGTTATTTCTTTCTTTCTTTCTTTTTTTCTTTCTAACCCCTTTCTTTATCTATCTATCTATCTATCTATCTATCATTTTTTTCTTTCTTTCTTTATTTCTATCTATCTATCTATATATCTATGTAATCTTTTTCTTTGTTATTTCTTTCTTTCTTTTTTCTTTCTAATCCCTTTCTTTATCTATCTATCTATCTATCTATCTATCTATCTATCTATGTAATCATTTTCTTTGTTATTTCTTTCTTTCTTTCTTTCTTTTTTTCTTTCAATTCCCTTTCTTTATCTATCTATCTATATATCTATGTAATCTTTTTTCTTTGTTCTATCTTCTTCTATTCATTTTTTTTTTCCTTCCTCCCCTCCCTTCTTTTCTTTCTTTCTTTCTTTTTTCTCTATCTATCTATCTATCTATCTATCTATCTATTCATTTTCTTTGTTCCTTCCTCCCTCCCTTCTTTCTTTCTTTCTTTCTTTCTTTCTCTATCTATCTATCTATCTATCTATCTATCTATCTATCTATCTATCTATCGTTATCCCGTCTCGGTAAGAGAATCATTTTGAACAGGTACAGAATATAGCGTGTCTCTTAAAACTGTTTCATATTATTTAACCAAGAAGATCAAAAATATCTATTATCCATTGGTATCGACAAGAGTGTAAGCAAGGTGACATTATGTAAACTGGAAAGCTGTCTATAGTGATTTTCCAACCGTAGCTTAGATGTAACACAAAGCCGAAAATAGGGGGCATCCAGTGAGGAACGAACTCACTGCTCAGTCGTAATTGTTCTAGCGAGACAAGCTTGCTAACTGTTATAGTAAGTTACCCACGCACGCATGGAGTCTCCCAGCTATAAATAGGAGCAGGTACTGCCTTTTTTGGAGAGGGACGTTTTGTTACTGACATGATTTTGTTTAGTTTCTTGCAAATTATTTTGTTTCATATTGTACATACTCATTAGGGATTTTTTAAATTGTTGTTTTATTCCCCCCCATCACTGAATTGTATGAAGATTAGTTAGGACTTCGTAGAGTTTCTGAGGCATTATGCTGGATGAGGTCAAAGGAATATTGTTTGTATGTTTATGGCTAGTTTAATGTTAAGACAGATGGAGACTGTCCTTTTCCCCATCTCCCATTTTGGCCTTGTGCCACATTTTCTGTATTTTAAACAGAAATATTTATCGGGAAGTTTCCAGCAGTCAGCTCTGACAGTCGAACCGAACATTCTTGCTGTAACACTCTCATTTGTATATGTTTGTATTACTGTTTCTGTTAATATATTTGTTTAACTTTCTTTGTCTCTTTTATTTTTTCTGACCCTAACCAGGCCGCAAATTAAAAATAACGAACATATATATATATATATATATATATATATATATATATATATATATAAATATATAAATTACACTTCTGTTAAATTACAAAAACTTACACTTTTTTAATTTCATTTTTCGTTTCATTTCATTTTTTTGGAATTATCTGATGATCCAAGTCCTTTAAAAGGACTCTGGTGAAATAAATTATTATAATGGTAACTTAAAGTGGTCTGTTTTTTTTAAAATATATATATATATATATATATATATATATATATATATATATATATATATATATATATGGTATGCTATATTTATGTATTTATCCACGCTCCCAACACTTTATTTTTTAAAATCTAATGATCGCGACATTATTTTAAAAAGAAACAATCGAAGACGTTGGGCGTGATAGAAGAAGAAGAAGAAGAAGAAGAAGAAGAAGAAGAAGAAGAAGGAGATTATAAATGTATCGGGATGTGGGTAATTGAAATGTGCAGGTAAAAAAAAAATTACTATCTATGCAATGACTCATGACACGGATATCTGGATCAAAAGGTTCTTCGAATCCGGAAATGTCATTATTGTTAATTTTTCCTGTTGACAGAGGTTGCAAATATTATTTAACTTCAAGAAATCGATCCCGGAAAATTCCATGGTTAGCTATTTGGTATCCAATTTGAAAGACGACCTATGATTGCACCATAAGATTGTTTGAACGTATCTTCAGGTCCTCTGACATATATATATATATATATATATATATATATATATATATATATATATGTATTACTTACTACCAAATATTTTTATATAAAGATGAACTACGAACAATACGCACATACTAACAAACTGTAGCGACTGATTTTAAAATACCAAATACCCAACATGAATGAACTTTTATGACATTAATCCATATAATATCCTACAATTTCTTAAATCAAACTGTATTTCAAAATATAACCAACAAAAAAATAAAAACACCGCCTCTAGTAATTATGTCCATACAAACATGTATATGCACAAAAGCTGCGCATTATCTACCATGTATTCAGTTGTGAAAGTAGAATAACATATATGATATTTTTTATTACTTTCAAGCTCTAAGAAAATTTAATTTCGGCATTAAATAGCCTATAAAGAGTTGATATGCCGTTAAACAGACACATCAATAAGCTTATTTAAGCTGTTGCACCATTAAAGAGTGTTTCATTAAGACGGATCAAAGTCAACAATAAATAAATCAGTGTTATTGGTGAAATTTTATTTATTTCTCTATTGGATCATGTTATTTAAGTTATGACAATTATGTTTGAAAAATAATATCGCCTGTCCGCCAAGGCTTGGTCAAAATTTTTTATGATGTCTCCGACTCCTCGATCTCACCAATATGCCTTTTTTTATCTCATCCTTCAGCTGTTGAATTGTTTTGTTGGCTTGTTGCATTCAAAAAATTATTTTACAGTTTCGTTATCATTGACTTAAAATATTTTTGCTCTTCCTTGCCTTTAAAGGAGTTTTTTAAATTGTTGTTTTCTCACACTGCGAATTTTTTCGAAGCTCTATACTAAACATTACATCTTTTTACGAAAAAAAGAACTAAACAAAATGAACACAAAACGATCAGCTTTAAAAAAAGAACTCGTAACTGGGAAAAACCGAATGAAAAAAGAATGTTAACAACAAATACTTTTTCACAACCAAACCAGTTCTGCGGAATCAGAATCAACGTTGAGTTTAAGCAAGCGAATGAGTCAATTGGAGTAAAGTGCCATGCAAATTTAAATTTTTCCCACTTGTGACGAATGCAGCTATCGATTTTTTTTTGCATGCTAGCATGCTAGTTAACATTCGTGTCAGTCAGCTGTTGGCTCTCACGCTAGCCAATAGAATCTTCCTGCCTATTCGTGGCAGCCAGCTATAGGCTCTCACTCTGGCCAGTAGAAAATGGCCGCAAACGACATGAAAAAAATCAATTATTTCCACTATCGATGGGAGTTGGGAAATGCAAAATCGGCGTTGGCCTTTCCCGCTAACTTGGAGCATGTGCATGTAAATTTTGGTGCAAATCCGTCGAAAATTGCAGCCGTGCATTCGTTACACACACATCCTGCCTTTTATAGATAGAGATTAGAAACAATGTAGTTTTATTTTTTTTAACCACAGGTTTCGAGCAAGCTCCCTTTTGAGCAATTGATAGTTCGAGAAATTACTGCCGAGCAATTGATTTTGAGCAATTTACCGGATACCAATGGTTATTGTTAATATAAATAGGAATTGTTGATAATTTTACCACAATATCTATTGGAGCCCATAGAAGCAATATATTGCAGGGAAATTGGCAGTAGCAACTGAGACAGAGATTGGCTTCCATTACATCAAGAGGAAACGATCCCTTTACTGATCCATACGGGATTTGCTGCCATGGAGAACCTTTGACTCACGCCTTGTTCCAGACTATTAGACAAATTGAGCAGTGTCCTGACTAAAATGCAAAGTTGAAGAATTGAAAGTCTATAATGGGATTGAGAGGGGAAGACAAGCATTCTGTAATTTGTTGCCTGAAGAAGTCTCTTACTTAAAGTGTGAAACCTCGACCCTGAAACACAGAACAAAGTATCATGAAATTAGATTATGACGGAATGGCCATTAGCCTGCATACTTGTAGATTCGTATACCAAAAAATGCATTTTTACCGTTTCATAGTGTTTTGTTTTTGTTTGGGGTGGGGTCAATATTTGCCAATAACTGGGACCCTAACAGATGCTACCACCCCGAGGCAATGTGAATCTGCGAACAACAACAATTAGGTGGACGTTCTAC